AAAGAGATCATCTCTGCGTGAATGTAGAGACACGTTTGACAAAAAATAAATTCACAAAAGTGTATTTACCCTATTCTTTCGATTTACTTTTTTTTCTTAACGTAAATTTCACAAAAAATTGTGTAATTTAACCCTAGTGTAATATAAAGCGACATAAAATGTAACTGTGTGGTCAAACTATCGCAATTTAAGCAATTTTCTTGGCATAGAGTTCATAAATAAAGGATCGATATTACACTGAAGGCAATTCACTGAATATTCTTTTTTTACAGAATAGTTTTAATAAGAAGGTTTTTTTGTACATAAGTCGCGCAGCCGCAATAACCATTTTTAAAATCGGTAGTTCCATTTCTTTTAGTCTAGTATGAACATTTGTGGTGTACGATTGTCTACTGCCAACAGCAGCATATACATATAAACTGGCTTTTAAGTTACTACTAGTAAAATATATTATCACTGTAGTCTTAAGAGTTTTAGTGTTTCTTTGTAATAATATCAAAAATAATATGGAGGACCTTCCATACATATATGAAAATACAATATATTTTTGAACGCAGAACCTTAATATAAATTCTGTGTATGCTACTTTCTCTTAAAATTCTTTCGGTGAGAAGACTTTTTAAATAAAAGCCGCGCAACTAAGATTATCATTTTTTAGCACCAAATTTTGTGTGTACTTTATTTGAATGAGTTTTTTCCTAAGTTAAATTTACTTAAGTGTAGCATCAGTGCCGACATGTAAGTTTTCAATTTTGTTATTGGTAAAATTACTTATATAATGTTATTTGTTTACTGAAATTTGCTTAGCCATATATCTTCTATGTATTTTTAATTACGCATTTTTGTTGTCAACTCTCATAATTGCTGAACACTTGTGTGCATCACCTGCTATTAAAAAAATCGAATATAAATATTTAAAAATGACATAGCAAACTTTACTCAAAGATAGCGTGAGGTAAGTATGCGCTAAGAAATAAGAAAAATAACTACATGCAAATAAGTTTTAATTATTGAAATTGCATATCAGTTTTTAAAAATTATTTTGAGTTTTTAAATTGCATTAAAGTTATGCTCTATTTATTCAATGTCTAATGTATTGAGTGAACCTTTTATTAATCTTTTTTTATTTTATATAACATTACTTTTTAGATTGGCTTCTACAATAAATGACGGTAAAGTAAGACGCTGATGCGATTGGTAGCTGGAATAAATAACATTTTTCTAGTGAAGTTACAGTACGCTGGATAAAATACTTGTGATGAATAGTATAAATTTTACCGTTGCGAAGTCTTCTAAGCACTCTACAAATATTTCAGCTGTAATCAGGTGCTTTCTTGCAGCAAAAAAAGTATCGATCTTTGTTTATGTAAGGAAGCTCTGTACCACTTAACGTTGTACCCACGAAACAACGACTAAACAACAAATAAATAATTATATACGAGTAAGATTCGTGAATATCACATGTGTTTGTTTTGTGAAACTTATTTCATAATTAATATAAATATTATTATATTAACATTAATTTTGTTTTTTACTAGAAAAACTTTAACATTAAAGCATCATGTGTGAAAATCTTTCTTACGCAGTAATTAAAATATGTAATTATTATGATTTATAACTTTGTGACATAGCTTTGGCAAAAAACAGAGAGAGATATACATAGATAGCAAATACATATTTAAAAAAAAAGTTTAAATTTTTTAATATCAAATACAGAGTTTTACTTTCTGAAAAATCTGACATAGCAGTTGTTTAATAACAATTAATATTTCCGCAGATTTATTATAGTAATTACAAATCTATATGTCTTACAATCTGCATATTTTGTAATATACAGCAAATTTGATTCATTCAAATAATCTGTTAATGAAAGAACTTTTAAATTTTTTAATAAATATAAAAATGTATTATATGTGTTTTTATCATATTTATTTGATTTTATTTATGAAAAAAGTTTATAATACCATATTTATCAAATATAACAAAATACTACGCTCTCTAGATAAATCACATAATAAACACGGATATGCTAGGCCAGCTAGGCAGTATTGATTGATGAGTATTAATTTTACAGCTGTTCGATACACATCTACAGCGTAAATTATTCTAGTGTAAATCACATTTTTGATTTTCATATTATTCGTTTCTAGATTAAATATTGTTCAATATTGTAACTAGGTGAATGTAATTAACATTCGTTAATTATGAACATTAGGACGTGAGTGAATTCTATGATGGATTAATAGCAGCTTTGTCAATGTATTTTATACAAAGAAATGTATTTTATTCACAATTTAAGATATATTATGTATGAAATCATAATATGTCTCTTACCTAGCAATCTTAAACATACCACACACATATTGCCAGTATAAGCTTTTTATTCTTCTTTTCACTGGCATCCTCGTTTTTATTTGAACAAATATTGAACAAGTCATACATAACAGCAATGAACAAGTAATACAATGATATTAAATTAGATTCAGAATTAAATGGTTTATTATATTTTATAGAAGAATAAAACAATTTATATTCTGCATACATTTTGTTTAATACAACTATTAAAAGTTTCATAGCATTTGCAGCAACGGATAATCTTATACGCGAAACTTGATTAGTTTCAGTAGTTTAGTAATTATTTTGATGTCATATGTTATTCAATATTACCGTATAGAATAGAGAACAGTACAGTAAGATATTGAAGCATTCAACAGCTAGAATTTATATCCTTTATTTTATTTATCAATAATAAATCCATATTAAATAAGAATCCATTGAGGATATTGTCGGGACATTTCTTACCGATGCCGCACTTTCCATAGATGCCACAAATATTCCACCGAGAATTACATTGAAACTCTTAGTGCCCCTTTGTAACAGAAACAACACCATTTTCTGTATGTTTAAAGCAGCCACATACCATTGATTATTGTATCTACAAAATGATAATTATAAAAAAATAAAAAAAAATAATGGAGAATTTACGGCACATGCAAAAGTTTACAAACCGCGTCAACTATAAATTTATTATCTTCGTTAACATTAAAATATTTATTTTGCAAGCATCAGCAAAACGAGTATTTGCACGTAATTGTAAAAAGTGTAAACGTTTCTTACGCAGTAGCAAATACATAGCTATTATGTTCAGTAATTTCTTGTGCGACATAATTGGATACAAATATGTAAATGTAGATAATAATTGACATTAGAATAGGTAATACAACCTGCTCAACGTTACCGTCAAACATAGCTATCTAGAAATTATAATGTAAAATATTATTGTTTACATTTGTATTAATTAGTAATCTTTTTACGTAATTTGCGTATTTATTCATATATTATCGTAACAATTGTGCGCATATCTTGTGCAATAATTATTTTTAATAACAAATGCATTTTTAATTATTCAATATGTTAGAAAGAACTTTTTTTTTTTCTCTTTTTTCTACTCTCTTACTCATTCCGTTTTTTTTCTATATGGATTTCTTAATTAATTCAAAAATTTTGAATACATGTATTTCATGAAAAGTATATTTTTCTAGTTCTTTGTATTTACAAATATTTTAGCAAATGTTAATGCAATGAAGTATCGTGAAACTTGTTGAGTGGTATATAGTTAAAACACGAAACTTACACAAACAAGATTAAGGCACAAGCTACTCATTCCGACGAGTATCGCAAAGAAGAATGATGTTTCAAAATTGATTACGAAAAAATCGGTATACCTTAAAAATTATGAAAGAGTGTCAATATGTGTATACTTACCATGCATGTATACTAAATACTTGATATTGTACATATACCAACTTCATAGCTTTGCGATGAA